GATACAATTTGCAAGTATCTTGTTGAGAATTTTTGCATCTATATTCATCAGAGAAATTGTTCTGTAGTTTTCCTTTTTTGGCAAGTCTTTATCTGTTTTGAAAATGAGAATGATGGAGGTTTTATAAATGAATTTTGAAGGTTTCCTTTCTTTTGGATCTTTAGAAATAACTTGAGTAGAATGGGGATTAACTCTTCTTTAAAAGTTTTGTAGAATTCAAAAGTGAAGCCATCAGGACCTGAGCTTTTCTTTGTTGGGAGGTTATTTATTACTAATTGAATCTCATGGCTTGTCATGGGTCCATTCAGGCTTTTTATGACTTCCTGATTCAATCTTGGTAGATTATATGTGTCCAGGAATTTGTCCATCTCACCCATGTTCTCTCGTTTTTTGTCATATAGTCTTTCATAGTATCTTCTACTGATGTTTTGTGTTTCTATTGTGTCTGTTGTGAAATTGACCGTTTCATCGCCAGTTTGTCTATTCTGGTTCCTTTCTCTCTTCTTAATTAGTCTAGCTAATGGTGTGTCAATCTTGTTAACCTTTTCAAAGAACCAGCTTTTGCTTTCATTTATTTTCTGTATAGTTTGTTTATTTTCTATTTAATTTACTTCTACTTGAATATTTCTTATGTCTTTTCTCTTGGCATCTTTGGGATTTTTTTGTTTGTTTTTCCAATTCCCTGAAGCATGATGTTAGGTCTATTTGCCACCTTTCCATCTTTTTCTTATATGCACTAGTTGATATTAATTGTCCTCATATGACTGCTTTTGTAATGTCCCATAGACATAGATTATGGAAACTCTTGTATTTGCTATCATTTGTTTCCATAAATCTTTTGAGTTTAGTATTAATTTCGTTAGTAGTTGAGAAGTCATTCATGAGTAGGTTGTTTATGTATTTACAAAGATTTTTCCTGAAATTAATAACAAGTTTAATTTTATCATGGTCAGAGAAGATCCTGGATATAGTTTTTATGCCTTTGAATCTGTAAAGGCTTGATTTGTGCCCTACAATATGGTTAATCTTTGAAAAGGTACCATGATGGGATGAGAAAAATGTATATTTTGTGGTCTTAGGGTAGAAAGTTCTATAGATGTCTGTCAAGATCATGTGATTTATCATATCCTGTATCTCTACTTATTTTTTGTCTAGAAGATCCATCTAAAGAAGATAGTGGGGTGTTGAGATCTTCAGCAATGATAGTGTCGCAACCTATCTCTACTTTAGCTCTAGCAGGCTTTCTTTCATGTATTTGGGTGCTCCTGAGTTGGGAGCATAGATATTTCTATGCATTATGTCTTCTTGATGAATTAGCCCTTTTACTACTATAATGCCCTTCTTTGTCTCTTAACAGTGTTTGTCTTAAAGCCTATGTTGGCTGAAATGAGTATCACAACTCCAGCCCTTTTTTGATTTCCATTTGCATGGAATACTCTTTTTCAGCTTTTCATTTTTTAGTCTATGTATGTCTTTAAGAGGTGTGTTTTTTTGTAGGCAACATATAGAGGGTTTCTCTATGTCTCTTGATCAGAGAATTTAATCCATTAGCATTCAATGTTACTATCAATATTTTCAGACTTGCTCATATCATTAAGTTAGCCATTTTGGGGTTGCTTTTTGTTCTCTTATATCTGTCTGTCTGAATTTAGTTTTCCTAGTATAGCACTCCCTTCAGAACTTCTTGAAGAACTGGCCTGGAGCTGGTAAATTCTTTCAAGCTTTGTCTATATGATATTTTTATCTTTTCTTCCCTTATGAAGGATAATCTTGCCTGGTATAGTAATCTTGGTTGAAATTATTTTCCAGTTAACACTTTGAATATATTTCCCCATTCTTTCCTTGCCTACATTGTTTCTGATGAGAGGTCTGATGTTAACCTGATGGGATAATCTTTGTAAGTAACTTGATGTTTCTCTTTTGCCAATTTTAGTATCTTGTCTTTGTGGCTATGATGTGCCTTGCAGAAGATCTTCTTGGGTTGATTCTATTTGGGATCCTTTGTAATTCTTGGGCCTGGATATTTGAATGCCTCTCTAGGTTGGAAAGTTTTCTTCCAGGATTTAATAGAATAGATTATCAATGTCCTTATTATTTTCTTCAATTTCTGAGATACCAATTATCTAAATGTTTGGGTTCTTAATGATATCTAGTATTTCTTGTATATTGTCTTCATTTTCCTTGGTTATTTTCTCAGTCTCTTTGATAATTTTTTCTAGGTCAGAGGTTATGTCTTCTATATCTAAGATTTGATCTTCTGAGTAATCTAATCTGTTTTTAATACCTTTGAGGGAGGTTTTGATTTCCTGTATTACAGTCTTCATCTATAACATTTTGTTTGATTCATTTTTATGGTGTCTACTTCTTCTTTCAAACTGTGAAAGAACTTCCTCATCTCCTAGAGCTCATTATCTCTTTTCCCTTGCATCTTCTGGAGTTCGTTGTCTCTTTTCTCTTCATCTCATTTAGTTTTGTCAGTACAAATATTCTGAATTGTTTATCTGACATTTCCATGAGTTCTATAGTATTGTCTGTGGTTGATGACGGATTGATGATTTGCCTTGGGGGAGAGATATTGTCTTGGTTTCTCATATTTCTTGTGCCTCTGTAACGGCTCCTAGTCGCCAGGTGAATTATATGTTTCTTCCTAAATTCTTCAAGTTAATTCTGAGTGCTCAAAGGTGTGCAGGAGGAGGTGATTGGCGATCTCTCTGCTGCTTTACCTCCCTGATGCTCACCCAGCAGCCTACACTGTTGTCTCTGGACTTGGACAATTTGAAGTCCTTCCAGTTTTCAGAGGACAGGTGCACCTGGAACTGTGCTGCTGAGCTTCAATTGAGGAAGACAGAAGGGTTCACACAGTGCCTAATGCATGTTGTGTGCTTCAGGAAATGCTGAAGTCTACACTTTAGGGAAGCCTGAAGTCTGCTGATGTCAGAGGCGTGTGGCAAGGAATGAGCCGCAGTCTCTAAGCAGCTCAGTCTCCCTGTCGCTCAGTGCAGCCAGACATGTCTCTGGGGCAGATGGCATGGGGAGTAGGGAAAGGGCTTCTCCAAGTCCCAATTAACACACCTGAGAGTTCGAAGGTATGTGGGGAAGAGGATGAAGCCAGGTCTCTACAGCACAACCTCCTAGCCTCAAATGGCTCAACCTGCACCAAGGCCCATTGCTGGGATGGATGACCCAATGGCACAGGGAGCATGGGGAGTGGGAAAAGGAGGACTTCTACAAGCCCCAATTAACATACCTGAGAGTTCAAAGGTGTTGGGGGGGGCGGGGAGCTTGAGTCATGGTCTCTGTAGCACAGCCTCCCAGCTACAAATAGCTCACCATGCAGCAAGGCCGTTGGTGGAGCAGATGTCCCAATTGCCACTGTCACAACTTCTAATGATCTTTCACACTTGCCCAACCCCCCTTCATTCTTAGCAGCAATCAAAGCAATCTTTTAAAAACTTAAATCCTATCATGCTCTATTCAAAACTCTTGAAGATCTTGTATTCAAATGGAGTCAGGATGGTTTAGTCGGTCTCCCTCACCTCCTATCTTATGTTTGAAGACCACAGGTTAAACAATTTATGTTATTGGATATACTGCACTTGCATGCTTGTTAAATAATTATAACTTTGCTGTTTTACACCATTAAATGTAACACTCATGTGCATATGCAATAGTTTGGTTTTGGCAATGAGCCACTACTGTCTGCAGTCCCTTTAAGATGAATGGAGCACTTGGTCAGCTAGCATAGCATTGCCCTACTAGCTGTTCTGCCCTGCTAACTAGCCTGCTCTGGTTGGCCTTGGTTCTGCTAGCTCAGTACTGATGGCCTTGTCTTGGCTCAGTCTTGTCTTGGCTCAGCTCCATTCTCCAAGAGGGAATAAGCCACTCTTTGAGCCTTCCCCACATGCATACTAGCTCCAAGAGTGAGGAAGCACTTATGGGACTGCTATTGGCTTTGTGAGCCAAGTGAGAGCTCTATGAGCTCCTACTGAACTCTGTCAATAAACAATATGACATTAGTGCCTCATGTCTTTTTCCAACTCCTTGCATCTCTGTTGGACCCATCCTTTGGAGGAAGGAAGAATCTTGTTAAACAGACTTCCCTTCATATTTTGAAATCTCTCTGGTTAATCTGGCCACTAGGTACTCCCCTGGCCTCATGCCTTACCATGCTTTCATCTGCAGCCCAGGAAGAAGGTTAAAGATATAGACTCTGGAGCAACTCTGTCCCTGTGTTAGGTTAGGCAAGTTGCCTTGTGTCTCTTTGTCACCGTTTCCTCATCTGTCAAGTGAAGATGATGATGATAATACTTTACTGAACTATTTCGTATGACGGAATCTTGAGAACAATTTCCAGCAGAAGACAAGCCTACATCCATGTTTGGGGTTTCAAGTATTTGATGCCTTGAACCTCTACTTTTGGAAAAATGAATGAGTACAAGAGAGACTAACGAAAGACAATGTACTCACAAGTTGTTACAATCAAGTTTTAGATACATGTTTTTGAAAAGATTTCAGCTGTACACATAGTGGAATATCCCCACGCCCTTTAACAGAAGAAAAACCTGAGAAAGTCTCATGAGTGTTGATAGCATTTCATTGTTTTATATTACAGCTTGGTTAGTTAACAAAAAAAAAAAAACCTGTACAAAACTCGCTTTTTATTTATTAGTCCCTGGCATTAAACACAGTCTCCTGGGGAAACCAGTCTTGGACTCCAAAAGAGACACAAAAGATGCTGAGTTGGCTTGCTCATGAGAAAGAAGCAGGAAACCACCTGGAGCTGTGCGAATGGTGAGTGGGTGGGGCAGGCAGGCAGAGAGCCATGATTGGTGCTCTTTGTTTAGCAAAGTGGCTATAAATCACCCTGTGTCAGTCTGCTGTGACAGCTTGGGCTTCCCCAGGACTGATAGGCATCCAAGTTATTGCTCTAATACATCTCTTTACAAAAAAAAAAAAAAAAACCCTCTGTCCTCCGAAGGCGTTTTCTTTTTCCTGATACAATGCCTTCCGTTCCCAATTCTGATGAGCTGATTTTTTTTGTGAATGGAAGAAAGGTAAGTTTATGACTAAATTAATTTTCATATACCAGGGGTAAAAAGACAATCGCCACGATGCCATTTCTTATATCTTTAACCTCTCTCTTCTGACTTTTTCAAGTCATATATAGTGATATGACTTGATCATGGGTTGTTCAAGTTTGGGTGCAAAATGATTAAAGTGTGGGGGTCTTCTCTTGCTTCTCATTTTTCTTTTGGAATCAGTAGGAAAAAAATCATGCTTTCACTTGTTGTATTACAGTGAGAGTGAATTCCAATAGTAGGGCTTTAGGGCACAGGTGCAAAGAACTATATCAACTCACCTTCATTCAGATATTAGCTCTACTTGAATTCACCAATGCCATTTTAATAAAAAGCATGTGACACTAGGGATAATAATAGCAAAGAACTCTCATATTATTTTGTTTTGCCTTAATAAATTCCCTCAGGCTGATCAATTAACCTAGAGGCTGAAGTGCCCCCTGCCTGAGCAATGCGATAAGGCTGGTTTCTCCCCTGCAGAACAGATAAGGCTTAACCTATACCAGTTATTCTCAACTCTGCGCTTTAATGAGGGAAATGAGTAAATAAAAAGTCTGGGATGTTTTAAGTTAGAATGCATGTATTACTGATCAAGGCAATTAGAAAAAAAAGTAAAATAATAAAATGGAAAATTATCTTAGAAAGCAATCTGTCAGGATGTTTTTGCTTCTCTAGTCTTAGTTACAATAAAAAACTGATGTTCCTTCTCAAGGAGGAAGCCAACCTTTAATAGCAGCGAGAATTCTCAGGGATTTTACCTCTCAAACAAAGGAAAAGCCAAGTTTATAAAACCTACACACGCATAGATAAAAAGTGAAACAGAAAGGAAAGAATGAAGAAAGTCTAGGTTTTGTGATCTTAAATGACCTGAAGCCAACTGGAACATGGGAAAATGAATTACCAAGTGAATGTGATAATTCAGAAACGGAAAACTTCTGTATGTGAGGAAAATGGCCTTTGTTGTTTTGCGTTTGTTGATGAATAAAACTATTGCTCTCTTGATACCTAAACTAGAAAAGCTATTCCCTCTCCAGGCTTCTATTCTTTTTCATTCAAATCCTATATTTTGGTGCTTTTATCTCATCCAGGTTTACAAATGTCTAAGACAAGTTGCAGATCACAGAATTGGAGGAAATACATTAAACTCTTTGAAGCATTTGTTGGTGCTGTTGTTTTTCTTCCCAGGGCATAGGCTGAGGAAAGCACACACCTCCATCTATGGCTCATCACCCAATCTGGACAAAGTTCCTCTTTGGTTTCATATTAATTTATTCTTTCTTTTTATTCCCTGTCTTCTTTTTTCCTCTTCCATATGCATCCTCTCTTGTGCATTTTAAATATATATCCTCTATCTACTTTCTTTCTTTCTTTTAAAAAGAAGTTTATTCAGCTCATAGTGTGGTGGTCCGAGGTCCAGGAGCTGTATCTAGTGGGCATGTTGCTGAGATCATAAGGTGAGAGCAGGGAAGAGAGGCTGCCCGTGAGTCTGTCTATTCTTATTCTCTCTCTCTCTCTCTCTCCTCTCTCTTTTAATTGCCAGAGGGCATGTGTATGCACCAGAAAAGACAGACAGACAGAGGAAGCACCCCATAATGGAGCATGATCAGGCCATGATCCCCTTTCCTTCATTTCTCTATCCTGTCAAGATTTTTAGTATGTACACACATGCATCCAGTGTGTTTTTCAAGCTCATAGGGCCAGGATTCAAACTCTGGTCAGTCATGTTGGATCTAACTCCCAACGCACAACTGCTACAAGCAGACCTTTTCTGATCTACTTCCTACAGAGTTATTTAGAAACATAGATTTATCCTGGAAACAGTTATATAGTGTGTTTGTATTCTTAGCCTACACAATTGGTATTGTGATTTATAAATCTTTTGTTTCTTCTACAACTCAGCACCGTGTTTGAGATCTATCCATTGTTCTTTGAAGACCTGACTCATGACTTCTGAATGTATAGTTCTCACAGTGCATATCTCCTTCATTTCCTTTTAAGTCTTAGTGATAGACCCAAGGAGGCTTCCAATTCCCTTTTACCTGAAGAAATACTACAGTGAACTTATTACGATTTATTTCTTCCCTGACACTGGCAGGAGAATCTCTGTGTGAGATTGCAGCAGAGTGATTTCATAGGTCCTGCCAAGTTCCAGGATACTACACAAGTTACATTTCCCACAACTCATTGCATGAGATATGATTTGCCAATATATGATGTGCCAATAGAATCAAAGTGTTGCTAATCTGATGGGCAGAAAATATGTCTCATCGATGGTTTCATTTTCATCTTTTTGATAACTAGTGAGTTTCCTATTGAAAGCAAATTTATTTCCTAAATAGAGTATTTCTCACATATTACTGAAATACTTGAAATAACTGCCATGCTATGTATTCAATAAACCAGAATTACAGCTGGAAGCTTTTAATTAATCTCCCAAAGTCTAATCTTGATTTTCTTCTTCTCTTGAAACTTTGCCATATTTCACACTTTTGGGGCCTGAGTTATCATCATGACTGAGGGAGACAGCCTTTACTCAAATGTTACATAGGTTGGCTGCTAAAGTGATTGGGGAATGTTATTTATTTACCTGGAAGGTTGTAGCAGAATAGTATCCCATTCTGTGACAGAACCGTGTCACGGGCCATCTTCCCCCAGTACACAGGAGACCGGGATAAGGCATAATCACCCTGCTATGTCCATACTCATACCCTTTTGTTTCCACCTTCGGAAATGATTTCCACAGCTACACTTATGGCATTAAAGAACATGTAATGATAATGCTTTGCCTCTGTGACACCCCTATGCTTAGTCTTCTGAGTGGAGGATTCTGAGCTCATCTGTGGCCAAACAAGTGTTCTGAGGACTGGAAAGGAGACTTAGAAACTGGAAGCATTTTATGAAGAAAAAATGTGGTTTGTTATCTTTTTCTGAGGTAGTAAAAATAAGAAGAAATACTTTTTACTAGAATGATGTCCTCCTTTTCTGGATTCAATATTGTTTCCCTTTCAAGTAAATTTCTCTCCAATTTTTTTTCCATAGGGTATGTGTGCTTGCTAGAGAGAAGCAGAGAGACAGGGAGAAGGATAGGGAGAAATCACCTCCCGGGGGGATGACCATGACATACTCCCTTCTCCTCTATTTTCCTCCAGGGATTTGGGGCACACACGCACATGCACCTGGTGTGAATTTCAAGTCTCCTGTCTAGACTCCTACAGCAGTCAGTCATGCGGGAGTCCAGGGCCTTAACCATTATGCCACCTGCTGGCCCTTCTTCCCTATCTTTGCCTGATTGTTCCCAGCAGAGGAAGTGTCTGGATCACTTTTGGCCAGGGAGGGCAGCCTGCAGCTCTCTGTGAGAGGCAGAACTGCGATTCAGACCCCTTCTACTTTCCTTTCACATCATCCTGGCATCCTGACACCTCCATTTCACTGGGGGAAACGGGAGTGGCTTCCTAGCAGCACAGGTAGAAAACCAAACCTTCATGTTAGGAAATCTCTGACTGATGTCTCCTCTGACTTTTTATGACCACAAGTATCTGATCAGTTTTAGAATGCATGAGTCTGTTCCCCATCCAGGACCTTTTCAGGTAAGTTTAAAAAAAAAATCTAGAATCTATCATTTTCATACATATTTGGAAATTCAGAGACATGGAAAGAGCATTCCACTATTTCTAAAAAATTCTTGTTCCAAGCATTTGAGAAGTTTTTCTTTGCTACATTTTACTTTAGAAAGCCACCAGTTATCAAAAACATGCCACCAAAACAATGAATAGTTACCATAACCTGTTGAAACGATCTGTCTTAAATGCCTTCTCTCATTTCACAATTAGGTAATAGAAAAGAATGCTGACCCTGAAGTAAGGCTACTGTTCTACCTGAGGAAATGCCGTATCCTTTTGTTTTACTATAATCGATCGAACTTGACAGTAAAACTTGTACATGCTAAGACTCATCAAGAAAATTACCGGTGGTTGCTCTCATAATAGACCTTGTGTTCCATTCATATAATCTAGTGGAGTTCAGAGACTGCATCAAAATGTGATATGTTTGTACATTATTCATTGCATTTTTTACTTGAACAAAACCAAAAGAATCACCAAGGGAAGTACGAGCATGTTCATTTTGGAAGTAACTTCTGAGGCCCCTGGTCATCTTGATGCTAATTTTATATTCAGGAGTGTTAGTATAAAATATCTACCCAAACTTGTGTCCAGCCAGAAGTTAAGGGTTGCATGTCACTGACAATAGGACCTCCCGGGACATCTTATTGTCTTGCACTCAACTTTCATAACCCTCATTAGAGAAGAAGTTCTATTGATGTATTTCAAAATTCCAACATGTATCTACTGCTCTCAGCTCTCCGCCTCTGGCCTTGACTCTCCAGTCCTTTAAGACTGTCAATTGAGCTTCAGTAAATAGCTGTTCAAGAAAACTTTCTTGATCATGGGTGCAACTATAACAGGGTAATATGAGGCAGTGTTTGTGGCAGTAGTTACACAAATCTACAATACATATTTAAAATTACATTGCATAGAACTATATACATGTGCATGTGAAAGGTGAGATCTGAGTAAGTTCTGTAATGTAATTATCTGTGCTTTACCAATGGCAATTTCCTGGTTTTGTTGTACTATTGCTTTGTGGGGTGCCATCAACTGGAGAAAGCTGGTTGACGAGTATACAGGACTATTTGTCCTGCTTATGCAATTTCCTGTGAAACTCTGTTTTTTTTGTTTTGTTTTGTTTTGTTTTGTTTTTCTATAGGGAGCATGTGCTTGCTGGAGACACAGAGAGACTGAAAGCGAGAAATTATCCCCCCAGAGGGGATAGCCATACAGCAATCCCTTCTCCTCCATTCTCTTCTTGGGGTCTTGAGTATGCACACATATGTCCCTGGCATGAGTTTGAATCTACCGGGTCAAACCACAGTTGACTATGTAGGAGTCCAGTGATGTAACCATTACACCATCTACTGGTCTCAAAACTCTAATTATCTCAAAATTATAGTTAACATATATTTACTGAGCACCTATGAAGTGCCTAGCACTGTGCTTGGCTCTAGGGATCCAGATGTAGAGAAGGCCATATTTTCCTCTCTCTCTGTTTTTTTTTTTTTTTTTGTCTCCCAATATACACTTCTGAAAACACTATTTCACTTCCCCCTGTTCTTCCTTTGCCAAACTTCCCTAAGAAACAGTTTGGTCTTGATGCCTCATTTTCTCTCCAGACTCCGTGTCTCACTACTTAACACCATTGCCATCTGGTTTTCTACTCTAACCAATATGGCCTCCTAATGTTCCAGATCCCCCCTCACTGGCCCAGCCATCTTCAAAATCCCACTATTAGTCTCAAACCCTTCACTCCACTTTTAAATCCTTTCTAAATCTACTACTTATTTTGGGCCAGCAGAGCATGGTGTGTTGGTTAAGGCAACTGGATCCCACATGGACAACTGCACATTTCAAGTTCCATGCCCAGTGACTTGAGAGACTTGCAGGCCATGTGTGCACGTGTGGCCAAAATCCTGGGAAGAAAAGGGATTGTAGCATGGCCGTCCCCCATGGGGGTGATTTCTCACTTACTCTCTCTCTCTCTTTCTGGTGGGCACATGTGCCCTCTAGCAAGCAAACGGACAAACAAAAAGGTCAAGATAAGTCTACTACATATTTTGCTCTGTTCTCTCTAGACATCTTGAAAATGAGGAAATTCATCTATCCCCGGAGCAATCTAAAATTAATGGACTCTCAAGTAAACATGGCCAGATCAACCCTGTCCTCTCATTTTCCTCTCTCCCTAGTACCCACTCTGAACACCTCTTTCTAGAACCTACTATAAACAAGTAGTCCTGGAGAAAGAAGTCTCACCTGGTACTCCCAAATCCCTAACTTTTGATTAGAGTCAGCAGTTCTAGGATAGAGTCAGGGATGTTATTTATTTATTTATTTATTTATTTATTTATTTGGAGAGGTTTTTGCTATCGGGCACATGCGCTCGCCAGACAGACAGAGAGAGACAGAGAGACAGAAAGTGAAAAATCAGCCCCCAGGGGGGATGGCCATGCCGCACCTTCTCATTCTCCTCTCAGGGTTTTGGGCATGCATGCACACGCACCCGGGGTGAATTTTAAGCCACCAGGTCCGGGATGTGACCCACGGTTGACTACATGGGAGTCCAGTGACATAGCCATTATGCTAACTGCTGGTCCCCAGGAATGTTATTTTTAACTTGATCTTCAAGTGGATGGTTCTCATGAATGGCTAATACAAGGAATGACTATTTCTGGATATAGTGCAGGCCTGCTTCACTTTAATTTAAACAGGACTCCAATGGCCCCTTCTAAGCCCAGCATCTACATTTACATTCATAATTAAATATGCATATATTATTACTCATAATATATATATATATATATATATATATATGTGTGCATGTGTGTATATTTCACCTTTAAAACAGGTTTTTCATGTTATTAAAACTTCAGACTTCCACAAAACCCCAATTTGCTGCTGACCTGGGCTCTGGCTTAGATGTCATTTCTAAGGTGAATACAGTCACACAAAGAGCAGGTTTGTTTGGAGGTACTGTCATCTCCCTTCCATTCCCTTCTCTCTCCCACCACCATTCTTCTCCTTCCTTGTTCCTCATAGGAGCTTTGGGAGGCCCCAAACTCTCATTGAGTCACCACGCCCATTCTGACTGCCTTGCCCAGACATGCTGGGGCAGGATTCTGTATGACCCCTCCATCAACACCTCTTGGCCTGGTTTTAAGCAGTCTGATCAGATAAAGTACCACAAAGGTGGTCCACAGCTACTTGGGGCAATGAGGGTGCAACGGATTGGGGTTGCTTGATCTCTGAGATCTTGGCTCCTAGATAAAACTGGGGACATGGGACATCTTGGAAGCACTCCCAAACATTTGCCCTTCATGTAACCTTTACTGCAGCCTTGACATCTCTTGCATTTCTCAAGACAATTTTTTTTGACAGACATTTTTTTGCTATAGGGCATGTGTACTTGCTGGAGAGAGAGAGAGAGAAAGAGAGACAAAAAGCGAGAAATCACCTCCAAGAGGGGATGGCCATACTGCAATCCCTTCTCTCCCATTCTCCTCTTGGGATTTTGGGCATGCATGCACACATGCCCTGCATGAGTTTCAAGCCTCCAGGTTCAGGACTCAAATAATAGTCAGCCACGTGGGAGTCCATTGTCTTAACCACTACGCCACCTGCTGGACCCTCTCAAGACAGTTTTTCATTTCATTCAGCTAACAAATTTATCAAATAGCAAATGTTCAGATATAATCTAGACAGGCACATGCTCTGCTCTCATCCCAGTGAGGCAGACAAGGCAAGAAATGGACAGATGGGGTGTACTGAATGCTACGTTGTGGGCATATAAGGAAGAGCACTCAAGGTGAGCTGAGGGAGGGAGGAGAAGACAAGGGTTGGGAGAAGCTTCAGGGCAAACTAAAGATTGAGGCCAAAGGCATTCTATTCAATGACACCATCAAATTTGAATTTGAGTGCTTGGGATGTACTTACACTAAAATGTTATTCTTTGTTTATCGAAGTTCAAATTTAACTGAGCGTCCTATATATTATCTGGCAACCCTACCCAATGAGGAGCTTAAGGATGACTCAGTTACTTTCATATTCCATTGTGCCAGATAATATATAGGCACAATGGAATATGAAAGTAACTGAGTCAGCACTTCTAGTGAGGAGGGAGGATGGGGACATCTTCCCAGCTATTGGATGTCCAGAGAACAAAACTGCTAGCTAAATCAACTTTTCACCTTTCCCCCGCCCCAAGTTTACCATAGGGCACATGGGCTTGCCAGAGAGAGAGAGAGAGACAAAGTAAGAAATCACTCCCCAGAGGATATGGCCACATTGTAATCCCCTCCATTTTGGGATTGTGGGAGTATGTGCACACACACCCGGTGTGTTTTCCAAGTCTCTGTGTCTGGGAATCAAACCACCCAGTTGACCATGTGGGATCTAGCCACCTTAACCATCACGCCACCTGCTATCTCCTCAATTTTTCACTTTTCACTGGGGGCAACTTCTAAATATGCATCACAGAGTACAAGACAACAAGAAAAGTGACCCTATCTTTGAGCCAGATGGCAATTACATTCTTCACTTGGAAATTCCAGGACAACAGAAGCAGAAATGAAGGACTGACTGCCTTGCCTTTTACCCCTTATTCAATGGAGAATTCTAACTATAGTAGATAAGACCCACATAGCTTTTATCCTTCTGCCTAAAGGTGGAAAGCTTGACTTATAGAACAGTCTTGGGCCCTGAAATGGCACAGCTGGCTCGACGAGGGACAGAAGAACAAAGAAGAGAGGGGTGTGCAGCTCCTCCAGGGAGTTGCAGGGAATTTCTCAGCTCCTTACTCCAGCAACCAGGAGTGTCCTAGCCCTTCTTACTTCTTCGTAGACAGAAACTTTCAAGATGAAAATTAGTCTTAACCAGCGCCCAACCCAATTATGACCTCCACCCATGAAATCCTATTAAAACTTTCCTCAGAAAAGATCTCAAACAAATTCAAGCAGATTCTCAGAGAATCTAAAGCAGAGGATTTACATATATTACTTGTTCTCCCTTTGTGGAAAACACGCAAATGTCTTACAGGGAGAAGGTACATGGTGCTTGTTGACATTACTGGTTCAGGAGTCATGGTTATTAAACTAATACTATTTAATCCCCTAAAGATGCAAATGCATTATATTACTACACCAGGGAAAGTTCAGACTCTCAGGGGGAAGTCTCTAAGTTCTGCACACAAACTAACTTGGCAGTAGTAACGTGACCTGGGTCGGGAATCCACTATCCATAAGTCTGATTTTTTCGAGAAATTCTCTAATTGTTTATTTCCTATACCCTAGTTATAAAGTTCAGAGCAGAATTTCGGCATTAAATGCTGACACATACCAAGTTTCAAGTATTTATTAACCAGTGTAAACCTGAACACATCAAAATGATTTCATGCATTTAGAGGAGAAATATTTCCTGGTTAAGTGGAAAATTGTGCAGATGGCTTCTGGAAGACCTTCCTTTATAAGTGAAACATTTCATTTTGAAGTCTGGACCTTCTTTCCTCAGTTTGCTGTAATCCACTTTCACTGAGTAAAACTTGTATTGAACATTGGGACCCAGTTTGTTCCAGGGTTCAGGGTTATTCTTTCTGTCCCAAGAGACATCGAGATTGAACTTTGCCAAACTCATGAGATATAGTGCTGCCCCGGTACCTCCAGCTTCAATGACTATAAACAGGGGGGTCAAACTCGGATGCTTCTTGGCCTGGCACAAGATCTGGCAGAGCATGTTTACAGTGGAGGACCCTGGTCTGAAAGAGAACAACAAATCTGCCAGGCCAGCGACTAAAAACTCTTTCCATAAGTCTGAATTTAACAGACATTTTCAGAAGCCATTTCAGCGTAAACCCTATCCTAACTGGCATGAGGCTCCATGCAGTCTTAGTGTGCACATCCATATGGTTCCTGCAGAAATATTAATGTGTTCAATTATAAGGACCTTCCCTAAACCCACTAGGAGTGCCACATTATTACCTAATACTAAAAAAATTTTAAACTCAGAAATGCATCTGGATTTCCTCCTACCTTTCATCAATGAACTTATTTATAAGGAAAAAGCTGAACAGTCTCTCTAAGCAAGCTATCTTGTCCAACTTAGTACACAACTCAAAAAAAGAAAAAGAAAAAAAAAGTAGGGACCAGCAGGTGGCGTAATGGTTATGTTGCTCTACTCCCATATAGTCAACTGCGGTTCTAGTCCTGGACCTGGTGGCTTAAACTCACACTGGGCACGTGTGCGTACGTGCCCAAGATCCCGAGAGGAGAATGGAGGAGAAAGGATTGCGGTGTGGTCATCCTCCCTGGGGGGTGATTTCTTGCTTTCTCTCTCTCTCTCTCTGTCTCTCTGTCTTTCTGACAAGTGCACACACCCTATAGCAAAAACCTCTCAAAAAAAAAAAAAAAAAGTGTTGCTTTTTATGTGTATCTAGCAGTCTGGCAGCCTTTTTCCTTGACTCTCTTCCTTTAAGTTCGTCTCACAGGCACTAAGTATGGGTGTGGAGGAGGCGGCTGTGGTGCCTGCACAGTCATGGTGTCAAGATACAACCCCAAGACCAAGAAGATCCAGTATCCTTTGTGTTGGTCCGACCGCTGCTCTGGGCACATCTGGGAAGGGTGTGGAGCTTTTCACTTTTCTTGCCAATGTGCACTCCTCCCTCCCTCTCTGGATGGCTAATACACTCATACTGCCTCCAGGCCTGCTCTCCCTGGAAGCTCCTAAATTCCAGAACTCCCCCCGGGGGTTCCTCCCTTTTCCTGTAAGAATATATCTGTTTTATGTACCAATCCCCCAGGGCTCTGCTCTCTCATGCCATAAAAATATTTCCTTTGTTCTTGAGTAGATACCAGGGTAAGAGTAAGGCCAGCACGGCTTAATGCAAAGAAGTAATAGTCCTGGTCGAAGATCTAGATTTTCAGCATACACAGAGAAGAGTTGTTTGCCTGAAAGAGCTAAAGGAGACTTTAAATCCTGCTATGTGATTGAACCAGCATCTCCTTGACCTAAAAATGTAAAATTGTTCACTGAATGTGGTGGTGAAGGAGGAATTGTTCAGCATGATTCCCAAGCTTTTGTCTTAGGTGCTTGGATTATGCATTTTGCAAATTAGAGAATTTGGGAAGAGAGGAGCAGAGGAGGGGAAAATTGTAAATTTATCTTGGGACACATCACATTCGGGGTAATTGTGAGGGATCGTCCAATAGACATCGAGTTATATAGGTCTGTTACTTAGAGAAGAGGTCTGTCTCATCTGGAGCTGTAACTTATTAAAATTATCAACATAATCATAACAATGATTACAAAAATAACCAACACGTATTGAATGCTATTGTGTGCCAGGCACCATTCAAAGTCTCTCATGCTTATTTTTGTGTTTAGTGTCCAAACAACTTTGGGTATTACTATCCTTCACATTGAAAAAAGAGGAAATCGATGCCAGGACACCCAGAACGTAGCAGGAACTGTAGGAGACCTTGTAGGTCTGGGACACTATGAGCAACAGAAAGAGAAGTGGTCAAAGGAGGAATTCCAGGGACCAGCAGTTAGCATAACGGCTATGTCGCTGGACTCCCACGTAGCCAACCATGGGTGGAGTCCTAGACCTGGTGGCTTAAATTCATGCCGGGTGCGTGTGTGTGCGTGCCCAAGATCCTGAGAGGAGGATGGAGGAGAAGGGATTGCAGTGTGGCCATCTCCCCTGGGGGGTGATTTCTCACTTTCTATCTCTTGGTCTCTCTCTGTCTTTCTGGTGAGCGTACACGCCCTCTAGCGAAAACCTCTCCAAAAGAAAAAAAAAAAAAGAAGAGGAATTCCAGTAGAGACCAAGAGGAAAGAGGAAATAGCCTATTAATGGAGGAATGACAGAGGAGAAAGTTCTAAGAGAGTCGAAATGGTCCCTCCTATGAAACACCAGGGAGTGGCCCAAGGACATCATATCATGCCTGGGGTCACGTCAGGGGAAAGATGGGGCTGGGAGGGAGGTGCAGGTAGTATAGGAGTGCCTAGAAGGTGAGGAAGCTGGGGACGGCTCATGAAGAACTGACTAAGAAAGGAAAGAAAGATGGACTAATGCTGGAAAGAGACTTAGGTTTGGGGGTGTTTTGTTTTGTTTTGTTCTGTCTTGTTTCCTAGCACAGCAAACATTTAAAGTCATTTCTAAATGCAAAGCTATTTAGAGACATGAAACCCAGAAAGGAAAAGGTTAGGTGGACAATTGATAAGCGGGAAGTTCATGTAAAGACAGAGTTGACCCAATCCAGAGCATATGGAGGAGGAGGAAGGATTCTTCACTCTCTGAGCCTTGAATGGAGGAGGGAAAACTGAGGATAAAAAGAACAGCATTAGGCTGAGGGTTCAGTGGAGATCGGTGAGGGGACCTGGTGCCTCTCTTTCCTGGATGAGACAGAAGGGTAAAACCGAGGAGAGCTCTGAGCACAGGCGAGAAAGAGAGGAGATAAGATTAGAGGAAGTTAGGCCAGCTGGTGGCACAGAGGTTAAGGCACCTGGATCCCACTGACTGACTGTGAGATTCAGTCATAGACCTGGCAGCTTAAAAAACATGCCAGGTGCATGTGTGTGCATGCCCAAAATCCTGAAAGGAGAGTAAAAGAGAAGGGATTGCAGTGTGGTTATCCCCCCAGGGGGATGGGGGGGAATAATTACCCAGAGAGTAATTTCTCACTTTCCCTCTCTTTGACTTTCTCCCATGAGTGTAGTGGTTCTATAGTAAAAGCTAAAAAAGAAAAAAAAAAAAAAATAAAAAAGAAAAAAAGAAAAAAAAAAAAAAAAGAGAGAGAGAGAGAGATTAAGAGGAAGCAAATTTTAATAGGGAGATATTTGGAAGACAAACAAAACAATAATGTATTTGTTGCAAGATGTTCCTGGGATCCACACCACTTTTGTACACCAAGTGCTCTCCCAGGGTCCCTAGCCACTTAGCCAGCTGGCTCCTAAACAGCTTTAATTATTTAAAGGGTTGGAGGAACCAGGAACAGTACTCTACAGTCCCTGGGAAAAGGACCATTTCCTATACTAGAAACGAAAATAGCACTCAGTGGGAAGAAAGAAACTCAATTTAACTAATGAAGTCTGGACCCCGTTCCTTCCAGTGAGATGAGAATCTGGTGCTAACCACATCTGCCGTGTCATTAATTCAAGGAAGACATGGAGAAGACAAGGGCATGAAACGGTGACTTCCAAATTTGGCCGTATATCACAATCATCCAAGGAGTTTTAAAAAGTGATTCATTGATCCCACTCCAGAGATTCTGCTTTAACTGGCTAGCCCAACCAGAGTACATGTATTTTTTAAAGTTTCCTATAGTTTGGAATTACCCAGCTAAACTACTCCATGGTGGTTTACGTAAGTCAATATATCAATATGTCATCTAATGGTGAGTAAAAAGGTTTCCTTTTCCCTAGAATGAGAAAAAAAATTCAGAGTGAGAGTCCCTTGGAGGTCCCACATGAAAGTCTGTATTATTCTTTTCTCCCACTTCTAGGATTCTGCGCCAGCTGTAAGTCCCTTCTTGAGTCAATTTAGAAATGTATGGTTTAAAACCTAGTCTGCTCCATATTCTCTAGGAAATACAGCCTCATGGCTCTCCTGGACTGAAACAGCTCCCTGAACCATGTTTCCCACTCCCCACGATTCCGATGCATGTTCTTTACATAATTCCATCACAGCCATTATCCAGCGACAGCGTGCCTGGTGCCCATCTGCTCTCTGCACGGGGCTGCTGTCACCACGGTGGAAGGTATAGGAAGCATCCAAACCAGGATTCACCCTGTGCAGGTGAGCACAGAGTACCATCAGGACCAGAGGTTGCTGCAGAATCCCGTAAAGCCTGACGTATGCCAGTTAGGTCAACAATTTTGAAACCCTCGTGTTTTTAAATTCTCATTTTGTAATATTGAGTGCTTTATCACAAGGGATCTTTGCAGAAATCTTTTCAAGATTCTTTGATTGAGTTTAACATTTTTTAACCCCAAGAAACATTCCTCAGTCCCATCCTTGCCCTAAACTAAGACACGAACAGTCCAGTATGACAGGAGAAGAAAATGAGATAGGAAATGTGAAGTTTGTTGAGACACTAGTTGTCTACCACATTTCAAAATCACTAAACTGAAAGAGATGCCAGTTATGTTTGCAAATAATAACACCTAAGCGTTCTCCAACTGTCTGACAAGTAACTGTACACTCTGCCACAATAAAACACAACTAAATAAACAAAAGAGTTTACTGAAGTCTAGAAGACCTTTGAAATAAATGGTCATGGTATTTTCATATACTAGAATGGGAACTTCTGCAGCGGTGGAATCTTAAAGGCAATGTATAGGAAGAAAATTATAAATACCCATATTTTCCCTTGAGATTCCTTCTCTCTATATTTTTTTAAAGAATTATTTTATTTAACTTTATTTATTGATTTGACCAGAGAGGGACAGAGGGAGAGAGAGAGAAAGTGAGAAAGCAAGCCGCCAGATCCAGGACTCAAACTATGGTCAGCCATGTGGGAGTCCAACGCCCTTAACTACCACACCACCTGCTGGCCCCGAGATTCCTTCTCTTAAAAGACTGTGACTGGGGTGGCCAGCAGGTGGCATAGTGGTTCAGATTCTGGATTCCCACATGGCCAAACATGGTTCAAGCCCCAGACTTGGCAGCTTGGCAGCCTGAGACTTATGCTAGGTGTGTGTGCGTATGCACCCAAAATCCCAGGAGATGGAGAAGAAGGAACTGTGATATGACCATTCTCCCTGGAGGGTGATGTCTCACTTTCCCTATCACTGTCTCTTTCTGTCTCTCTCCAGCAAGAGCACATGCCCTATGGCAAAAACCTTAAAACAAAACAAAACTGGGACCAGTAGTTGGCATAATGGCTATGTTGCTAGACTCCCATGTAGTCAACTACGGTTCAAGTCCCAGACCCAGTGGCTTAAACTCATGCCGGGCACGTGTGCGTATGCCCAAGATCCCGAGAGTAGAATGAAGAAGGGATTGTGGCATGGCTATTCTCCCTGGGGGGTGATTTCTCGCTTTCTGTCTCTCTGTCTCTCTCTTTCTGTCTTTCTGGAGAGCACATGCGCCCTATAGCAAAAACCTCTCGAAAAAAAAAAAAATGGGGGTTGGGACGTAGTGGTCAAGACTCTTGTCTGACCATGTGTTACCTTAGTAGTGTGTATCTTTCAGCCGTTAACTTAATGACTTTTATTTTAGTTAAATTTTAACGCATACTTGGCCAATCACCTTAGCAGTCATAGAAGCCCTTCACACTGCACCTGTCAGATTTGTTTCCCTTCAGTCTTAGTGGTAGAGATGCTAGATTTGCTCAGTAGTGCCCTGGACCAAGTTTGTACTGACATGCAAGAACCAATTGTTAAATTTTCAGGGATCATTCAAGCTAATCTTTAAATACAGCTATTATTTAAAATTCAAGCATACAAACCTATAGTTAAATCATTTATAGAATAATAGCAGGGTGGAAGTATTTATACTATGAAAATTAGCAAAAAATAGAAGTCAGAGAGCCTGTTGCTCAGTATTTACCAGCCTGTTTACAGCAGCCAGGTTTATATGCCACCTCCTCAACAACTCGCCTTCTGCCTTAGCCCCAATACTGCCATCCTCGTTTCCGGCATTAGGACAGTATCTGCCTTAGTTGAACTATAGATAAAGTATTTGGCTTGCATTTTGGGAACCATGCTATCTGAAAAATGCTTATTTTAAAACATTAAATCCAGGAGCAGCAAGCAATCTGGTGGTTAAGAATCTGGACACCCACGTGACTAACCACTGTTTTAGTCCCAGACACAGCACTTGAAAATCAAGGCAGGCATGTGTGTGTGCATGCCCAAAATCCAGAGAGGAGAATGGAGAAGGAATTGCGATGGGGCCATCCCCCCTAAGGGGTGCTTTCTCACTTTCTCTCTCTTTCTCTGCCTCTCTCTTTCTCTCTCTCTCTTTTTCTCTCTCTGGCAAATGTACATATCTTATGGGGGAAAAATATCTGAATCACACTCAAGCCAGCCGATTGAGCCCCGGAGAGGCATGTAAGACTGACAGAGGGACCCACAGAGTCAGGTCTCCCATTTGTGTCTTCATGACATAGAGTCTTTGTAGAGTAGATTAAGTTACTGTTGCTTCTCACTCCTGTCTTTGTTCTGTTGTTGTCCCTGCGTGTATAAAGTCAAATACACATTCACGTGTGTAAGTAGCACACAGCTACTAAATAGTACTTTACAATTTTCAAAATTCCTTAATGTAGGTGAAGAAAGGGGTGAAACAACTTGCCAGAGGCTATGCTCATGATTTGCACACATTTTTTCATTTGTTCTTTTCTTTCTTTCTTTTTGTGAGGCACAGCATGCATGCAGTGTGTGATTATCCAATCAGAGACATAGGCATAGTCATCTTCTTAACATTACATCATGGTGTACACATTTGATACCAGTTCTCCTCATTTCTTTTAAGTATGTATTGAGTAGTCAATGATTTTTTTTCACTTTGCTGTGACACGTCATTCCATAACCCATTCCTCTTGTTTACATGCATTCTAACATCCATGATCATCTTCCTCGGAACCTCCTCTATGTCCCCCACCCCATGCAGCATCTGGCATCTACCGTTACTCTGTCTACTTCTATGCCACAACCCATTCTTTTGTCCTTATACCTATTCTATAAAGGAGATACTACTATTACCCTAATTTTAGAGATCAAGAAAAGTCACATAAATCACCTAAGGACCCACAATTATGAGTTTCAGAAAGGACCAAAACTCACAAGAGCATGACATGTTACTTACTCGCTAAACAACACTCCTAATTCACAGATAAACCAGGATCTATAGAATAAAATGACTTCATGAATACTTACCATCAGACTCTCCAAAAATAGCATATGTGTGATTTCAAGAAATAAAAGTGTCTTTCCTCCAGGAAACATCTTCCATCCTTCAGTTATTTCTGGAAAGCTAAACAGATAAGGTCTGTTGCTTGCTGGTGTCCAAGATAGGGAAGTGAGGTCTAAAACATAAATGCTGTGCTGTTGTGTCCAGGAAAGACTCGCCAAGTGTCACGGCACGCAGTGTGGATTCTGCAGCCCAGGCATGGTGATGTCCATCTACACGCTGCTCAGGAACCACCCGGAACCAACCCCGGAGCAGATAACCGAAGCTATCGGAGGTGAGCTTTTTAGGCCCCCTATAGGCAGAGGCCAGAATAGGGAGTGCTCAAGAAACTGAAGAAAGCTGCGGCATCACGTTGCGGTTTCAGGCACCTGGCCGGAAGTGCCTCCTTAGAACGTGTCTCGATGCCCGTCTTTTCCAGGAAGGACTGTTTTTGTTTTGGCAGCAGCGATGCCAGTTATGCAATATTGGTTTCATTACAAAATTTTTTATTTGGGCCAGCTTGTGGCATGGTGATTAAGGCAGCTGAATTCCACATGACCAACCAAATGATTCAAGTTCTGCACCTGGAAGCTTGACAAATGCCCCAGGTACATGTGCATGCGTGCCTGAAATCCTGAAAGGAAGGAGAGATGGAAAAGGAATTACAGCATGACCATGCCCCCCACCCCAGCCCTGGAGGGTGCTTTCTCATTTTGTCTCTATTTTTCTCTATCTCTGTTTCTCTCCTCCAAGCACATGAACTCTCTGGCAAAATTAAAGACAAGCAAACAAACAAACAAAAAAAACCACTTTTCCTTAGTGGAGCAATTTGCCACTCTGCAAAGGCATTTAAATGGGCTGTTTGTAAAACTTTTAAAACAATCTTTTCCAAATGTGGAAATGTGAGTAGTGTGAAAAGAATGAGATTCTGTTGTTTGTTTTTAATTAATCTATCAGAATCACTTATTAAATTTGCTTACTAAAATTAATTTTTCAAAGAGGAAAGACTTTTAGATACTTTACATTTTTATGTTCTGATTGGGACAATTTTAATAAGATCATAGACAACAATTAGTTATTATGATTAAACTTAGTGAGCAGTTCAGTCTCCTATAACAAAATAGTTATCAAATTTAAATAGACAAATATAATTTTCTGCCAAGAAACCCCCAACATATTAACAAATGTAGTTTTCTCAGGGCTGCTAGGATAACATGGTGGTTAAGGCATTGGACTTCCACATGACCAGCCATGGATTGAGTCCCAGATCCGATGGCTTTAAAACCACACCAGGTGTGTGTGTGTGCATGCCCAAAATCCTGAGAGGAGAATGGAGAAGGGATTGCAGCATGGCCATCCCATCTAGGGGTTGATTTCTCACTCCCCTCTCCCATCCCTTCTCCATTCAGAATTTTAATCTATGGTTTCAGTTATAATTTTACCAAATTTGAAAGGATTTTAACAACAGATAATCTTTGTGAGTTAAGTAATCCACACAAATGAAGTATTTACAGCTTTGAAAAGCAGAGATCTTGTGTTTGCCATGTTGTTTGTGCAATTCATTTTTTTCTCTCTAAAATTATGAATGCTTCCCACACTGATAACCTTTATTATCTTTTTAATTTAATTTAATTTAATTTCTTTTATACATTCAATCACATGTGTTATTTAGCTTGTAAAGTGATAACCTTTATATTTTTAAAATGATGATATAAAGCTCAAAGAAGTGATTCCTACAGTCACTATTTCTAAAATACCAACTCATACAACTCACTATTTCATCTCATCTATTTTTTTTTTCCTTCAAGACTAAGGAAATAAAAATTTTTAATTTCCTTTATTTTCCCCTAGAATCAGGAGAATTTCTGTAATGAGTGTAATAAATTTTCTCTTAGTAGGCCTTTAGTAGAGTTGATAAACTTAGAATTTAAATAACCAAGAACAAAAACTGAACAAAAAACCCTGATAATTTCTCACGCTTGCCTTTTTTTGTGTGCTTACAATTGATCAGAGGGAAGGTATCCACCACTTCTCAAATATTTCTTATTTTTAAACAATTATTTTATTTATTTATTTTTTAAAAATTTGATAAAAGAGGAACAGAGAGAGAGGTAAAGTGAGAAAGTAAGCCATCAGGTGCGAGACTCGAACCACAGTAAACTATGTGGGAGTCCAGTGCCCTTAACCACCATGCTTACCTGCTGGCCCCAACTTCTTAAATATTTCTTTTTCATGCCATGTAGTTACATTTTAGACATTGCAGCTCTTTCCTACTGTAAAAATAAATTCTAAATTCAGGCCCTTCTGTGTTTTTAGTTCTTAGCAAAAAGAAAGATAGATTATGGAGACTACAGCCATTCTTATGTAGGTGATTTCTTTTTAAACTAATCTCATTCTAATAAAAACAAAGGAATATACCTGTTACCCAAATTTCTACCTAACTTACTGGCATCAATTCCCATACAACACTACTTCTATGTGTTTAAGCCTGACCAATCCACACATATACACTGCTTCTAAATGCTTTAAACTGGAATTAAACATAATTATTATGTTGTATTTTACTTTTTTAATTTGCCAGAGCGCATGTGCACTCACCAGAGAGAGAAACAGAGACAAAGGAAGGAAGAGTGAGAAAGCAACCCCCTCATGGGTCATAGTCATGCCACAATGCCTTCTCCTCCATTTCTCCATCCTGTTGAGATTTGGGGTGCCCATACTCAGGCACCTGGTGTGTTTTTCAAGCTGCAGGGGCTGATATTTGAGCCACATAGTCAGCCATACGGGGTCTGGCTGCTTTAACCACCAGGCAACAGAGTTAGACCAAACATAATTTTAAATTTACTTCCGCATGTAAAAGTAATACATTTCTATTATGAAAAATGCCCCCAAATGAAAAATTGAGGGGAAACTCATGTTTCTACCACCAACGACAATCATTGCCCAATATGTCTTTATTCTTTGTCATTTCCTGCGCATAGGTTTTATTTGCTAATTTGAAATAAGTGTGACTACTATATATGCAAATTTATATTATATGTACAGTTTTAATAGTATAACATAAGAATTTTCCCATGTAGGGCCAGCAGATGGCATAATAGTTGCTTCACTAGACTCCCACATAATCAACTGCAGTTTGAATCCCGGACCCAGCAGCTTAAAACTCACACTGGGCGTGTGTGTGCATGAGTGCCCAAGAGCCTGAGAGGATAATGGAGGAGAAGGGAATGTGGTGTGAGGAGTGATCACATCCCCCCTGGGGGAGTAACATCTCTCTTTCTGTCTCTCCATCTTTCTCTGTCTCTCTGGCGAATGCACGTGTTCTATAGCAAAAATCTCTCCAAAAGAAAAAAAGGATTTTCCCAAGTTATTAAAATGTCTTCGTAAATATAATTCATACAAGCTATAAAATTTGAATATATATATTTTTTAAATCTAGTGGTTTCCCTCACTTTTTCACTATACTTTGGAAATGTTGACCAAGATAACACCAAATATTTACTGAACGCCAACTGTGCTGTTCTGGTATGATGGTGGGGGAAGGGGTGTTCAAGAACATCTAGATAATCCTTGCCCTCTCCAGGAGTTTAAGATCCCAAAAGGAAATATAAGGCACATACATAAGTGCCTTGAAGAATGGTCCCAGTCCATCTTTGCTTAAAAGGGCATTTGAAGAAGAGATCGAATGAGATGGTTTGACAAGGGGCCACAGGTGTTATATTATGAGGTGGCAGGTACACGAGGTAGGTAGAGATAAGAACTAAGGCAGAAAGAGTTGGTTGGGAAAACTAGAGGGTTTTTTGGTGTGTGGTATTCCAGGAAAAAATGTAATTTGTAAGATTTATTTTTAAAGAATATCTCCAAGAAGAACATTTGTTCCAAAAATCTATCTTGCTGTCTTTAGAGAACAAAAAATCTCATTACCAATATAGCTATTCTATTGAAATAGCTACATATATGAAAGCTGATGTAATATATTTCTATATTATTCATTAAAACTTGGTCCCTTTTTATCCAGGTAATTTGTGCCGCTGTACGGGATACCGACCAATTGTAGAAAGTGGGAAAACTTTCTGTGCGGTAAGTTTTGAAAAGAGGAAGAAGAAGAATATTGAGGCCAGCAGATGGAGTGGTGGTTAAGGTACTGCATTCTCACGTAGCCAACCATAGTTTGAGTCTCAGACACGGCAGCTTGAAAATTACACCAGGTACGGGGTCTGGCTGCTTTAACCACCAGGCAACAGAGTTAGACCAAACATAATTTTAAATTTACTTCCGCATGTAAAAGTAATACATTTCTATTATGAAAAATGCCCCCAAATGAAAAATTGAGGGGAAACTCATGTTTCTACCACCAACGACAATCATTGCCCAATATGTCTTTATTCTTTGTCATTTCCTGCGCATAGGTTTTATTTGCTAATTTGAAATAAGTGTGACTACTATATATGCAAATTTATATTATATGTACAGTTTTAATAGTATAACATAAGAATTTTCCCATGTAGGGCCAGCAGATGGCATAATAGTTGCTTCACTAGACTCCCACATAATCAACTGCAGTTTGAATCCCGGACCCAGCAGCTTAAAACTCACACTGGGCGTGTGTGTGCATGAGTGCCCAAGAGCCTGAGAGGATAATGGAGGAGAAGGGAATGTGGTGTGAGGAGTGATCACATCCCCCCTGGGGGAGTAACATCTCTCTTTCTGTCTCTCCATCTTTCTCTGTCTCTCTGGCGAATGCACGTGTTCTATAGCAAAAATCTCTCCAAAAGAAAAAAAGGATTTTCCCAAGTTATTAAAATGTCTTCGTAAATATAATTCATACAAGCTATAAAATTTGAATATATATATTTTTTAAATCTAGTGGTTTCCCTCACTTTTTCACTATACTTTGGAAATGTTGACCAAGATAACACCAAATATTTACTGAACGCCAACTGTGCTGTTCTGGTATGATGGTGGGGGAAGGGGTGTTCAAGAACATCTAGATAATCCTTGCCCTCTCCAGGAGTTTAAGATCCCAAAAGGAAATATAAGGCACATACATAAGTGCCTTGAAGAATGGTCCCAGTCCATCTTTGCTTAAAAGGGCATTTGAAGAAGAGATCGAATGAGATGGTTTGACAAGGGGCCACAGGTGTTATATTATGAGGTGGCAGGTACACGAGGTAGGTAGAGATAAGAACTAAGGCAGAAAGAGTTGGTTGGGAAAACTAGAGGGTTTTTTGGTGTGTGGTATTCCAGGAAAAAATGTAATTTGTAAGATTTATTTTTAAAGAATATCTCCAAGAAGAACATTTGTTCCAAAAATCTATCTTGCTGTCTTTAGAGAACAAAAAATCTCATTACCAATATAGCTATTCTATTGAAATAGCTACATATATGAAAGCTGATGTAATATATTTCTATATTATTCATTAAAACTTGGTCCCTTTTTATCCAGGTAATTTGTGCCGCTGTACGGGATACCGACCAATTGTAGAAAGTGGGAAAACTTTCTGTGCGGTAAGTTTTGAAAAGAGGAAGAAGAAGAATATTGAGGCCAGCAGATGGAGTGGTGGTTAAGGTACTGCATTCTCACGTAGCCAACCATAGTTTGAGTCTCAGACACGGCAGCTTGAAAATTACACCAGGTGTGTGCATACCCAAAATCCCCAGAGAAGGAGGAGTTGTGGCATGACCATCCCCCTGAGAGTGATTTCTTACGTTCCCTCTCTCTGACTTGGCCAAAACAAAACAAGAAGATTTATTCTGTTTACATATTAGTGCATATAATAGTCTGTTGCATTCAATAATATCTAAAATAACCCTATGTTGATGTTTCTCGCCCCTGGAAATTTTTAGATGCCTACCATTTGTATTTTTTAATAAATCCTTAGCCTTTATCTTATTTATAGCCCTAAATTTGACACTTCCTGAGAAATATAGCACAGTCTATTACTACAAAATGCACACACTACTGAAGAAAAATGAAAAATAAAGACAATAAAAGCATAACTGAAAAAGCAAAATATGAAAAGCTTAAGCTATCCAATATACAATGCATGTGAATTTTAAAGAAACATGTATCAAAGAAAATTAATAAATGCAAATGGAAGAGACAGCAAGGATTTGCTAAAGGAGAGTTTTGAACTAGCTTCTAAAGGAAGTGAAAGAAATAAATTGCTGAAGAGGAGGCCTAGAAAATTACAAGTAAGAAGTGAATGAGAATAAGCAAAAGAAAATGACAAAGATTCGGGTAAGAAATCTATGTTTTTGAAGCATTGAAGAGTAAAAGATACTGTACTGGCTAGGGAATTTATTCTCTTTCTTTTCTTTCTTTTTTTTTTTTTTTTTTTGGGGGGGTTTTTTTCTTGGGGGGGACGTGTGCGCTTGCCAGAAAGACAGTGAGAGACAGAAAGTGAGATATCACCCCCAGGGAAGATGGCCATGTTGCAATCCCTTCTCCTCCATTCTCTTCTCAGGATCTTGGGCACGCACGCATAAGCACCCGGTTTGAGTTTAAGACACTGGTTCTGGAACTCGAACCATGGTCGACTACATGGGAGTCCAGTGACATAGCCATTACGCCAACTGCTGGTCCCAGGCTAAGGAATTTATTCCTAAAGTTGGTAACCAGCATGTAGTCACTGTCTGCTCTCAAGCCAGGAGGAATACCATAAGGAAAGTATTTCAGTAGGAATATTCTTGACACTTGACTACTTGGAGAGACACAGCAAGGAGTAAGAGCATGGACAGTGCCATATACCATGTATGAAGGAATGACAATCCAGGCCAGTGTGCCATATGTGGGGACAGAAAATTAATTTGTAAGAAGGGGATTGTCAGGGCCAGCAGATGGTGTAGTGGTTATGTTGTTGGACTTCCAGACGGCTGACCATGGTTGGAGTCCTAGATCTTGTGGCTTAAAACTCATGCCAAGTGCATATGCATGTGTGCCCAAGATCCCAGGAGGAGAATGGAGATAGGATTATGGCATGGCCAACCCCCTGGGGGGGGATTTTCACTTTCCCTCTCACTCTGTCTGTCTCTCTCTGGTGAGTGCACACACCCTAAGGCGAAAAACTCTTAAAAAGCGGGGGATGGGGGATGGCCAGAATAACCATCAGACGGCAAAGAATGAAGTGAGAAATTCAGATCACTTTCAAAGTACAAAGATTGAGGAACCAGATAGAAGTTGGAAAAGAATGATTTAGGGTTTGGGCAGAAAAATAGTTTTAAGATACATTTTTTTCAGAAAGTTTCAAGGGGAGACATACTTTTGAGAAAGTTTTAGTTATGATATTTTTCTACAGTTTATGGTAAAAAAAATAATTTTATTTAATTTTGTTGGCCAAAAACACTTCAAGGTACATCATTTCATCCCAAATCCTATAAAGTCTTTGAAAAATAATGTGTTTTATGCCAGTAATGATGAATTTCAAGAAGTTTTACAAACTACATGCTAGTTTTTTTAATAAACTCTAACTTTAATTCCATTTTTCATTAAGTTTCTTTTGTTATTTGCTTTATTTATTTGTAATTTGCCAATTTACATATGCTCACTGGAGAGAGACAGAGAGAGAGAGAAGAGTGAGAGTAAGAGTAAGAGAGAAAGAAAGTGAGAAACCACCTCCCAGGGAGGATGGCCAGCCACCATCCTTTTTCCTCCATCCTCCTCCCAGAATTTTGGGCCTGCACACACATATCCATAGCTTTTTTAAGCCACAGGGTCCAGGACTTAAACTGTGCAGTCCACCATGAAGAATCCAGCTGTCTTAACCTCATGCCATCTGCTGGCCCTTCCATTAACTTTTTTGAAGTGTATTTACTTATTTCTTCCATGAGAGAAAGAGAGAGACAGCACCCCAACAGGGTCCTCATGTTCAGTCCATGCCCCAATCTCAGCCAGCCCAGATCATGGTAACAAAATGAGGACTTTTCCCATGTGGGTCTAGCTGTGCCAAATTTTTCTATGCAAAAATGTGTCATGACTTTCCCAACAACTCATTATTACTTTTATTTTTAAGAGAGATTTTTGCTATAGGGCATGTGTGCTCACTGAAGAGACAGAGAGACAGATAGCAAGAAATCACCTCCCAGGGAAGATGGCCAGGCCGCAATCCCTTCTCCTCCATTCTCCTCTTGAGATTTTGGGTATGCAAACACATGCGCCTAGCGTGAGTTTCAACCTGCCAAGTCCAGGACTTGAACCACAGTCGGCCATGTTGGAGTTCAGTGATATAACCATTATATCATCAGCTGGTCCCCTGACAACACAGTATCTATGTTGAACCATACAAATGGCCAAAATTCCACCATATAACCTATAAAAAACAGCAATTTCTTCATGTGTCTTTACCTGATACTACTCCTGCGATAAAATCTACACAAACACATAAGCTAAAAATAAGTATTTTTACTCTCAATTGCTCCAGATTCCCACATTCAGTCACTTATACTTAGTTTCTTTACTGGGCACAGCATTATTATAAAATACAAATCCCTTCTCAACACTGTAGAAAACGACTTACAAGTAAAAATATCAGCTGCCACTTTTACACCAGTTCCTCTGCATTAAACACTATTGAACTCATCTATTTAAATCTCACAAATCTGCTTGGGATGAGTTTTATCATACTAATTTCTCAAACTTGACCCAGCTAGTATGTGTTAAAGTAAGAACCAGAACCCAGGGTTCCTTCACTCCATGAAGCATAATCTCTCAACCACCACAGAACCTTAGGGAGTGTGCACATGAAAAGAGAAAACCAGAACAGTTCTGTAGTCTGATAGTTGTAGTAACTGACAAACTCAAGCCAAAAACACTATTTTGGGTTCACATGAAATGTCCTGAAAATTGAGATTTCTCACTCTCTCTCTCTGTTTCTCTCTATCTCCCTCCAGTGAAAGTATGTGTCCTATGGTGAAAAAAAATAACTAAAAAAATTTTTAAATAAAAAATAAAGATTTAAATTGTTTGGGGTTTGAATCATTTGAATAATTCAGAATAACTTCAATAACATACAAATAAATTCAAATTTTCAGTTTGTTTATATTTGTGTATAGAAGGTCTTAAAGGCAGTTTGTCTTCCCAGGACTTCTTTAAAGATACCAGGGGACTTTAAAAAGTGAAACATGGAGGGAACCAGCAGGTGGAGTGGGGTTAAGGCACTGATCACTCCCACGTGGCCGACCATGGTTGGAGTCCCGGATCTGGTGGTTTGCTTTCTCACTTTCCCTATGTGTGTGTGTGTGTGTGTGTGTGTGTGTGTGTACGTGTGTATCTGGTCAAATTAATAAATGAATGAATAAATTTTAAAAAATTGGGACCAGCAGTTAGCGTAATGGCTATGTCGCTGGACTCCCAGCTGGCCGCCCACATAGTCAACTGCAGTTCACGTCCCGGACCCGGTGGCTTAAAACTCATGCCGGGCGCGTATGCATGCGTGCCCAAGATTCTGAGAATGGAGGAGAAGGGATTGCAGTGTGGCCATTCCCCCGGAGGGTGATTTCTCACCTTCCGTCTCTCTGTCTCTCTCTCTCTTTCTGGAGAGCGCATGTGCCCTATAGCAAAAACCTCTTAAAAAAAAAAAAAGTGGAACATGGTATTAAAATACAAGTTTAAAAGCCAGCAGGCAGTGTGTTGGTTAAGGCGCTGGACTCCCACACAACTGACCAAGATTTTAGTCTCAGAACTGGTGGCTTGAAAGTCACATGTGCATGTGTGCCCAAAATCCCAGGAGGAAAATGGAGAAGGGATTATGGCATGGCTATCCCCCCTGGAAGATGATTTCTCACTTTCCCTCTCTCTCTAGCAAGTTCATGTACTCTGTAGCAAAAATCTTAACCCAAAAGGGGGGGGGTGGGAGTTGTTTTAATGCAAAAAAAAATTAAATACATGTTTTTTTAAAAATAATATGCATTTTCCAGAAATTTTTTGAAATCCTTTTGTACATGCAATATCACTGTTAACATAAAGAATAATTTGAATTTTTAAGCTATTACCTTATAACTATGCTCCATTTATCTAACTTACAGTAGGAAGCCTTAGCTGACTGGCATCACCCACCTCTAAACTCCCTCTGTCTTCCCCTGGGGCTTGAGAGACAACATTTACAAGACTCTGTCATGAGCATGGTTGCACATTCCCCATAATCTTCTCTACTTTTTCAGTGATGGGATAGCTTATTACCCCTGCCAGGTACTCAAGTATGTGTTTAAAGAATCAACCAATGACTTTAATTTAAACTGCTTTACTTTCTAAGGAATCAACTGTTTGTCAAATGAAAGGATCTGGAAAATGTTGCATGGATCAAGAAGAGAGGTCTTCTGTGAATAGGTGGGAAAAAGTAAGTATCTGATTTTCCCACTTCATTTGGGATTGACTGAAAAATACCCACATAAACCTAAATTTGTTCAATTTTTGTATTTTCCTTAGTGAGTAAAATAAAAAATGAGTGAAATCAGGAGAAAAACAGCTTTAAGGATTAGCAAGTCCATGACTTCCATGAAACCAGTCACCAGAGAAGGCTGTTTCCCTTCATAATTATTACAGCCTTCTGTGACTTAATCTAGGTTTCCCATCCCTCCAAAAAGCACTAAGAAGGACTAAGCTGTAGAGCACCTTCATGCTCATAGAAAAAAAAAAAAAAAAGATAAGTAATACCTGAGACCCATATGAAAATTTAATCCAACTTTGGACACCAAAGGAGGAAAACCAAAGTCTAGGAAATCTGTCAGAGAAACCATCCCCTTGTCCTGTGAGAGCGAATGAATTCCATGCAGGGACACTCTATGGTTCTGGAACCTCTATTTCACTCGAGGGGTATCAGAATTAGGGGATCTGATGCAAGTCTCACAACTAAATATTCCTATAACTCTCTCAGTAACTCTGAAGTTCCATTTGTTTGTTTGTTTATTAAGATGTGTACCAAACTGTATAATGAAGACGAATTCCAGCCTTTGGATCCATCCCAGGAGCCTATATTCCCTCCGGAACTGATAGTAAGATGCTTCACTTTTGTTGTCTCAAAACATGATGTGATATTTACCTTTTGGTATTACACTAGGGAATTACTATTAGACATTTAAAGATGGAAGCATCTCCAACACAATAAAGCAGCAATGACCCATTGGTATGGGTTTGTTCAGCTCTACAGTTAGCGTAATGGCTTTGTAACTGGACTCCCACATAGTCAACCACAGTTCGCATCCTGGACCCGGTGGCTTAAAACTCACGCCGGGCATGTGTGCGTGCGTGCCCAAGATCCCGAGAGGAGAATGGAGGAGAAGGGATTGCAGCATGGCCATCCCCCCGGGGGGGTGAGTTCTTGTTTTCTATCTCTCTGTCTCCCTCCGTCCATCTGGTGAGCCCACATGCCCTATAGCAAAAACCTCTCCAAAAAAAAAAAAAAAAAAAGAATTCGAAGTAAACCACTTAGAAGAATGGTGCTGCCAGAATCTCAAAGATGTGCTTTGGTTCAGCCCTTCCAGATAAAGATCCTGGGGTCAGAGTATAGATGACTCAGCCAAGATTACAGTAAAACTGGTAAAGTAAGAGTCAAACAATTCTTAGAATAATGGAACTATACTAATCCCAAAATTAACCACTGCGATGTCAACTCAGTGAGGAGCAAAAATAATAGAAATAGTGTGGTATGTCCCCCAGTCTGTTCCATCACTATGCTCTGAAGAGAGCACAAGATGAGAGAGAGAATTCTGCTGGCTTCTCAGAAAGTCTCAGTCAACATATACCCCACAGTGTGAGAACTTGGACACCCTGTATCCTACCTACTATTTAAAAATTATGTGTATGAGCCCAAAATGGTAGAGCATTCTGGACACGGCAGGCTAAAGCTACATGGAAGGCCCAAGTTTCATCCCCAATGTATTCTAAAAAGCCAGGCATCATGGCACATGCCTGTGGTCCCAGGTACTCCAAAGAATACAGCAAGAAGATAATGACATAGGGAAATGCTTCCTAAAATCACATGTGCACACACTCACACACATGAACCACATGAAGTTTTTAAATTTTTATTAATTAAGATTATATGTGCTTGTGTATGTGTGTGTGTGTGTGTGTATACATGTGTTGTGTTACATTATACCTGGTGAATAACTTAAAAGTATGGGATAATTTTGCCCATAAGTAATTCTTTTTTTGTCCAACCTAAAGCCTAATTCCCAAAGATGAGCCTCCTCTGATCCACTGTGAGGACAAGATGGCTGGCACTTAAACTCTGTTGAAGACACTTTCACTGTACTATGTTGCTTCTTCTTCACACACTCACTTCAAAAATCCAGGTGGAGTTTACCCTACATTGTTGATGACACCTATCATGTTTATTCAGTGGTGCCCACATGAATCTTATCAATCTGGGTCATTTTGAGCCGACCATCATTTTCTGATACCCAGAAGTTGGGTGCCTTCAGAAAGCTAAACTGACCAGCAGGCTACATGGACACCCAGAGCAATGGGTATACTCATGGCTTGTTCAAGAGACTCATTTGAAGGCTTGTTGGCTTTGCTTCTCTGCAGAGAATGGCAGAAGATCCAAACAAGAAAAGGCTGACATTCCAAGGGAAAAAGATGACCTGGATCACTCCTGTGACCCTCAACGACCTTCTGGAGTTGAAAGTTAATTTCCCTAAGGCCCCACTTGTCATGGGGAATACTACATTGGGTGGGTAGATGTTAATGCATGTTCTTTAGCCTAGATTAGGTCCTCAACATCTGTGTCTGTTTAAATTCTTCATAAATACAATTAATTTTTATTAGTGATACCTAAGGTCCTTTAGAATGCTTTGTTTTCTTTCACACATTACTGTGAATTATCAGTAACTGACATCTATTAGCATTTCTTGTCATCCTTTTCTAATTTTTCTAATTACTTTAAATATTTTAAGGACCCAATTTTACATTCAGAGATGAATTCCATCCAGTTTTGATATCTCCACTTGGGCTTCCAGAACTCCATTTTGAGAAAACCACAGATGATGGTAAGCACCTGCATCAAATAAGATATAACCATCGGCTATCAGCGGGCTGCTAGTAATCAACTACATGCAGTGGATAACTTAGAGCACTTTATAGAGTAGCTGACCTTGCTTATATATGTATGCATCAAAGATATTTGTTTTGTGCTTTTTATTTGTCCTTTATGATCTTCCAAACTGACCCACTCAGCCTGGTCACTGATCACTACATTATCATAGGAGCCATAATGATGGGGAGAATGCCACATAGCTTAGCCTGGAGTATGGAGGGGTTGACTGAATGAGAAAATTTAAGACATTTGCTGGCTAGTAGGAAATGTTCTTGCCACGCATTACTTCCAGTGTCACAAATTTACTAGAGGTTCATCACATACACACACACACACACACACAATCTGGGCCAAAACATTTGAAATGTAATAGTGAACAACAACCTGATTTATTCTTACTGTCTTTACAATTTACCAAGGGCTTTCACATCTCTTATCTCTTGATCCTTAGGGCAAAGCACGGAGGTAGACACAGCAGGTAGCTTTGGTATCTTCATTGTTCTCTAGAAAAATACAGAATCCAAGAGCTTATGTAACTTCCCCACCATCTCACAGCTAACATGGGGCCAAGTCGGGACGTAGGTCTGCTTACTCCTTCTGAACAATACACAGAATAAGGCTGTCATATCTTACCATCCACTACTCACACAAAGCATTTGAATAAAAAAAATCTATAAAACTCCAACAAAATAGGACTCTTCCCAATAAGTAAACAGAAATCAAGTGGATAATTTCTTGCTATCTCTTCTAACCTGCTAAGTCAATATGACTTTTTTTTACTATTCCTGTTGAAAAGTCTGTATCAACAAATGCACAGAAAGAGATGAAGCAAGGGGAGGCCAGCCAGGTACGGGAGATGTGAGGAAAGAAAGGGTGAAAGGTATTTAGTTAAAGTGTGGTGAGAGTTGAGGGACAGGGAGGTGAGAAATAAGACTAGATTAGTGATTCAGAACCCTGTCTTCATTACTGCTCCTCCAAGGAGAATTAGACATTATTTCTCTAATTGTCCTTCCATGAAATTTTAATACCATGGATAAACTGTGTATTTGTTTATGGAGAGTATGTGTTTCAGCACTCTATATGTAAAAAGAATACTTTTTTGTTCCTTTGAGGGCAGTATTGTCCTCATTTAGAGTGTGTGAAGTAGACATCACTAGTCAAATCATACTCCTAAGCACAACTGAAACTGAATCTGATCTGCCATACAGGCAGATACCCAATCTTATAGTTTCAATAAGGGACGATCAAAGAAATGGCAGAGGGAGAAAGGAAAATGGGCAATGCAAATTTCGCAGGCCAGTTCTCACTTGGGTTTACTAATCTTCTAAAAGGCTTATAATACCGTGGCTGGAATTTTAATATTTAATCCATGTGTTTAGTAACACCTTAAATTGGGATTAAATGAAGTAGAGAATTTCAGATCTCTGGTTGATATGTGCTAAAATGTATGACGTATGTGACTGTGTACATAACTGAGAAAAGGGATTTGGCACTTAACATTTGGGAATCATGCAAATTGCCAGAAATAGCTCTATATTATCTCTCACTTTCATCATTCTAAGTAAATATGAAAAGAGAAGACTGTTTCCATGCAACCCTGTCTTGTTATCATTCCCTTTAAGTTTATATGCCACTGTCTAATTTTCAGGCGTGACAATAGGTGCAGGATACAGCCTGGCCCAGTTGAATGATGCCTTACATTTTATTGTTTCGGATCAACCGAAGGAGAAGACTAAGACTTTTCGTGCTCTTCTGAAGCATCTGAGGACACTTGCAGGAGCCCAGATTAGGAATTTGGCCGTATGTTCTCTCTTGTTATATAAAATAAACCACAGTTATGGACAGTCCTATAGTTCTGTTCAGTTTAACAAATTACTCTGAAGAAGAATTCCAAGTCTCTACTACATAACTGCGAGTGCATATATGTGTTCAAAATGGAGGTATCACACAACGTATGCAGGGTCTTCAAAAAGTTTGTGGGTATTATGAAAAATTAGGTGTGGATTTCAATTTTATATTTTTTGCAACAAAATAAACTCATCTTTTTTTTTCCTTCTTTTTAGATTTTTGCCGTAGGACATGTGAGCTCATCAGAGAGAAACAGAGACAGTGAGAGGGAAAGTGAGAAATCACCCACAGTGGGGGATGGCCATGCCAGAATCCCTTCTCCTCCATTCTCTTCTGGGATTTTAGGCAAACACACATGCACACCTGGCATGATTTTTCAGGCCTCTGCTCTGGGTCCAGGACTCAAACCACGGTTGATCATGTGGGAGTCTAGCACCGTAACCACCATGCCACCGGCTGGCTCCTAAACCCATCTTTTAATTCTATTTTCCCACAAACTTCTTGATGAACCTTCATTATGGATGTGTCCAAGGCAAGTGGCACATGACGTAGCATGATTATGAAGCTAGAGTCAGCAAATTCTCAAATCCTAATCCCAGCCTGACACCTGTGAGTGGCATTATTCTAGAGAAGCCACTTGACCTCTTTAAGCCACAGTCCTTTGATTTTAAGGCTCCACCACATGGAGTATCTTTAAGGCCCTGTTCAGCTCTCACAGTCTATGTAAAGTGTGTTATCAAAGGTATAGTGAACAGAAATCTACATTTCCAAAATATTCTTTTATATTTGGTTTTCAGACTTTTGCACAAGGTCAATTTCTAAACATGTGTTTTCCACGTGCCTATTCTCAGACATCTCCCGTTGGCTAGTTTATTCGTGTTTTCTTGTTATTTAAGATTTCAGAGCACTTAACTGGTTTGAACTGCTCCGCTCTGACACATCGTGTATAATACAGCAGGATTTGGTGAGGACCGAGGGGTTCTACATTTCTCCTGCTGGTCTCTGGCTCTTCTGCTAATTCTTGGCATCTACTGCATGTTTTTGCCTACTTGATCTGTGGTCCCTTTTCTGAACCATATTGCTCCTCCTCAGCTTGTCCCCCTAATTCCTCCAAAGGCCCCTTGTTCAAGGTTATCAGTGAAGGCTGACGGCAACAGAGATGTGTTCTATCGCAGAGCGGCGCTGCAGGCATGTTAAACGTGAATGCCCCATAGCCTGGTTCTGTGGTTTGCTCAGACTCCAGGCTCTCTACCCTCTCCTATGTTGTTGGACACTTTCTCCCCTTTAGCCATACTCCTCCTTCTTCCTAACCTTCTGGCATAGCCCCCAAATTCCCATTCATCCCCCTTCATGTCTATCTTCATGAGTAAACATGCCTTTCAAGGATCGCTTCTAAACAAAGACAACTGCATCCTAGGATCAGTTCCCAAAGAAATTTTTCCTTCTTTGTTGTACATAGAAGAGGAATATTATCTCAAGCTGCAAGTTTGGGTGAGGTCAGGAATGGGAATTACATTACATATTCTAACCAACTTAGCTGCCCCCCAAACTCTGCTGGATCTTTTTCTGAAGCAAAGAAGAGAATTAAAAACTTACACAAGGGAACCAGCAGTTAGCATAATGGCTAAGTCGCTGGACTTCCATGTAGTCGACTGTGGTTCACGTCCCGGACCCGGTGGCTTAGAACTCATGCCGGGCGCGTGTGCGTGCATGCCCAAGATCCCGAGAGGAAAATGGAGGAGAAGAGATTGTGGCGTGACCATCCCCCCTGGGGGAGGGTGATTTCTCGCTTTCTATCTCTATGTCTCTCTCTGTCTGGCGAACGCACACGCCCTGTAGCGAAAAAAACCTCTCCAAAAAAAGAAAAAATAAAAAAAATACACAAGACACCCATATTCACAATCTCTCATTTGCTGAATAATTAAGTATGACGTATACAACATCATCTTTTTTGATTTAGACGTTAGGAGGACATGTGGTGAGCCGGCCTGATTTTTCTGACCTGAATCCCATATTAGCAGCAGGAAATGCGATCATCAATCTTACATTCAAAGGTAAGAGACAGAACTTCAGGCAATCTATTTTATACTCACCGCTGTCGGTTACATGGTCCCTGATGAACTGGGTTTTATACTCATAGGCTGTATTTATATGACTTCAGACCTAAGGCTGAAACTGTGATCGGTGATCATTCTCTCTAGAGGTTTTGTATCTTATAGATCAGATACTGTACAGTATTTGGCCACATTTATAAGCAGTCCAAATTCCAATATCAATGCAGTTAAAGAAAAATTGACCAGAGGTATCTCTGTGGTTGTAAAAGTTATGGCATACTTCATTCCAGAGTTTCACAAACTTAGAAAAAATTTTTATAAGCCTTTTCATTTTAAATGGAATCAAGCTTGTGGAGTATATTACTCATTACTTCTCTCTATTCAAAGACACCTTTGCTTTGTGGACGGAAAAGAACTTAAACTTAAGGAAATAAGGACAAATGCATATTATTTATGGGACTATTGGTATAAGATGATAAGGTCATTTTCTCTTTGATTGAAAGTATGTATTTTTAAAAATATTAGGGGGCTGGCCCTGTAGCACTGAGCATTTGTAGCAGATCCCACATGGTCAACTGTAGTTTGATTCTTGGACCCACTGGCTTAAACAACACTCCAGGAAGGACCAGCAGGTGGCATGGTGGTTGAAGTGCTGGATTCCCACATGGCCAATCATGGTTCAAGTTCCAGATCTGGCAGCTTGAAAATCAGGAGGAGAAGGGATTGCAGCATAGCCAACCCCCTAGAGGGCTGATTTCTCACTTTCCCTCTCTCTGTCTCTCTCTAGTGATCACATGCCCTATGGCAAAAACTAAACAAAAACTTAAAATAATAATAATAGTAGTAGTAATAACTCACAGAGAGATGTGTGCATACCTAAAATCCTGACAGGATGGAGGAATGGAAGAAAAAGGATGGTGTGTGACCATGCCCAACTGGGGGGAGGGTTCCCCCCACTTCCCTTTCTAGAGCGAGTGCTCTCACCCTCTGACAATACAAAAAATATTGTAAGCATTGTGGCTTACATAAGAAAGTATGGTAAACTGCTTAAGAAAAAAATGTACATATATACATACAAGTGTACTTCAAAGGGATCATGAAAATGGAATTGAAATACAAGTTTATTTTGGTGCAAAATAATTTTTTTCCTTTTTTTTTTCTTATAGGGTGCATGCACTCACCAGAGAGAGACAGGGTTGGGGGAGTGAGGCTTCACCTCCTAGGGGGATGACCATGCCAAAATCTGATTCTCCTCTTGAGATTTTGGGCACACACATACATGTGCCCTGTGTGATTTTCAAGCTGCAGGCTACAGGACTCATACTGCACAGTCAGCCATGTGGAATTCAGTACCTAAACCTCCATGCCCCCTGCTGGCCTGGTGCAAAGTACTTTCAAAATCCATGCATGGTTTTTTCATAATTCATGTTCCCCACAAATTTTTTTGGAGTTCAGGGATCTCACCTCTGTCACTAGCCTCACTTCTAGTATTTTGGAAAGGTCACTTACCTAAGGTGACCCAGCTTGGGAGCTAGAACTAGAACCCTATCTTTTTGCTCTCAGACTGTGCTCTTTCCACCACATATCCCTTCTGTGGCTTGCTGCAGATTCTCCAGTGTGATAAATTCATCCTAATTGAGGTCTTTTTCTCAACAGAAGGAGAACGGCAGATTCCCTTAAATGGCCCTTTCCTTGAGAGAGCACCCGAGGCTGACCTGAAGTCAGAAGAGATCGTGTCATCTGTTTATATTCCCTACTCTACACAGGTATGGGCTCCCTAACACACTGCCAGACCAAAGGAGGCCTGGCTCCCCCTGTGTACTGACAAGTCTTCTGTAGGATCAGTGTCTTCTCTATTTCTAACCAACGGGCTCAAGAGGACTTTTTTGGGCTGCTCCACAGGGCGGGACAAATTCCTAGATGATCATTTGATTTGCTTTCATTTAAGGGCCATATTATATTTTCAGGGTCCCAGATGCTTTTACCTTTGCGGGTCCCTTCCTCCGTAAGGAAATTTTTTAAAAAGGAAATAATATAAAAGATACATGGCTATTTTGTTATAAAGATGAATATAATCCAGACTGCATTCAGTGTTCTATATTCATTATTATTACATTCATTTTTTTTTCCTTTGATTTTAAACAAAATAAAAAATAAAGCATTTCCATGGACCCCGAAGCATTCTGGGCCCTATCTCTCTATTTCAAAGGTGTATCAGTCTTGCAAAAGACCTATCATGTGAGTTGAACTTTTGGTTCAGATAAATATGCATCTTAGTTAAGACTGAATAAATCTATGATAAACATTATTCACAGCAAGTATTCTGGTAAACTGAAAACTCATTATCATAAAGGTACTTTCAAGTCAGCCAACATTTATTTTCCAAATAGTTTAACTAAAATTATTTACTAACCACCTACCACTCTATGCTCATTATCATAAGGTACTTTCAAGTCAGCCAACATTTATTAGCCAAATAGTTTAAATAAAATTATTTACTAACCACCTACCACTCTATATCATGGTGCTAAACCCAGAATATACCACAAGAGGTTTTAAGGCCTGGGATCCTGTCCTTGAAGATCATTTCATCTAACAGGAAGGACTTGAAATGGGTAAAACCTAATCATCTAGGACAGCAAAGGGGTCTTGTCTTTTGGTCTCCAGTGACCAGGAGATCCAGTAAGAGGGAAAGCTCTCAAAAGAAGTCCAAAAGGGGGCGAAGCAGTTGGAGGCCACACATAGAAGATGATAAACTCTGAGTCAGTCAAGAGAGGAAATAGTCATTCCAGGAAGAATTATCTGGGGGTGGAAAGTAAGGCAGATGATAGGTTGGAAAACTATGGGGCAGGGCAGAACCACCCTTTGAAGTGAGGCTGGGGCTTCAACAGGCATATCAAAGAGTTTATCAAATCCCAGTAGATGGCCACTTTTGAAGGCTTTAAAGCAAGGTAAAATTTAAATGAAAATGATATTTTAAGAATATTGATTCATTAGAAAGATAGAGGATAAATAGGTGGGGAAGAGAACAAAGATTGGACCAATTAGGAGGCTAATACAGTAATTCAGATGGGCGGTAGTCATGTGGGTGATGGTTGCAGGAACGGACAGGGAAGTCCCCACCAATCAGGACAGTAGAATAGGTATGACTAGTGTGTCTGGAGCTTCTCACCTGTGCTTTCTCTAGCAAAATGTTCTATCCTTGACAGGGTCCATGCTGGGAAATTTCATCTCTCCCACACTCCACCAACATGCCAGGTACACAAAAAAGGCTTTTCTACTTCATGGTTCTTACATTCCACACTAGTAATGAGAGTTAGTCCAGAGTGACAGGCTAAGACCTATAAAGAATTTTCGAGACCATTTGGTCCTGTGGCTTTCAAGCTTTTCCTTTTTCTTAACAGTAGAACTCTTCAATCAAGTGAAATTTAGGTAGCAATGATAAAAGCAAACCTGTGGTAGTTCAATCTGAGAGGAACTCTGTCCCCTGTTCTCCCCTCATCCCACTTGGCAGCCTTTAAGGCATCATCTGATCAAAAGAACGTCCTTAGTTTAAAAAAAGTAAGATACAAACAGTCACCTGAGTATCGGACCACATGTGGTGACAGAGTTGAAAGGCCTATCATTTAGCAGATAAGCACAGACCGTGGATCTAGACTGCTTGGTTTGAACTCTAGCTTTGTCACTTACTGTGTCAACTTTTACAAGCTACTTAACCTCTCAGTTTCCTCATCAGTAAATTGGAAATGAGTAGAGTGGTTGTGAGGATTGGACATTAGCATATGTAAAGCAGTCACATATAGCCCACCGGGTGGTCAATGACAGTGCCTATGTGACAACTCAGGTCATTCACAGGATCGATTTCATTATTAAACATCGTGAAAATTCTTAAACAGCAGACTGTAGAGGTAAGTTCTCAATGTTCTATGTTTTGCTCTCCAGTGGCATTTTGTGTCAGGACTCCGGCTGGCCCAGCGTCAGGAGAACGCCTTTGCCATTGTCAATGCCGGGATGAGTGTGAAGTTTGAAGACGGCACAAACACGATCAAGGACCTCCAAATGTTCTACGGGAGTGTGGGCCCCACCGTCGTCTCTGCAAGCCGGACCTGCAGGCAGCTCATTGGGAGGCATGTCATAGCACACCTGGGATATGGAACTCGGGCCTTCCTAGTTTTAACTAGATAGCACTTGGGACTTTTTTTCTGATTATAAAATATATGTAATCATCTAGCAAATGTAAGCATGACAGAAAAGCATAAAGTGCAAATCACCCGTAAGTCAGCCCCTTCAAGGTACGATGATTTTTTATTGCAGGCTTCTGTAATAAGACGAGTGCACAAATCACATGGCTTGAGTAGACTTTATCTTTACATTTCCACTTTTAATTAACCTGTAAAATAAGCAAATGACTCTAATACCCTGTCCTAAGATATCTGAAAATGTCCTCAAACCACATAATCAGAATGAAATGTACAAAAAGATTAAACAGCCTTCCTCCTGTCATTCATTATTTTTAGCACGTGAAGAGTATTTTGGGGGGGACCAGCAGTTAGCGTAATGGCTATGTCACTGGACTCCCATGTAGTCAACCGCGGTTTGAGTCCTGGACCCGGTGACTTAAACTCACGCTGGGTGCGTGTGCGTGCGTGCCCAAGATCCCGAGAAGAGAATGGAGGAGAAGGGATTGTGGTGTGGCCATCCCCCCTGGGGGGTGATTTCTCTCTTTCTGTCTCTCTGTCTCTCTCTGTCTTTCTGGCGAGTGCACACGCCCTATAGCAAAAACTTCTCCAAAAAGAAAAGTATTTTTTTAATTCTTTTTTTTTTACTTGCCAGAGAGCACATGAACTCACCAGAGAGTGACAGATGCAAGAGAGAGGA